AAAAAACATGTTGGAATCACAAAGCTGGCTCTGCTCTCTATCAGGACTTTGAATAACTGGGGAGGGGGAAAGGGTAAAGGGTTGAGAGAAGAGGTGGAATTAGGTATTGTCTGCAACCTGACTACACGCCCCTTTCCAGGAACCAGACCTAAACATTGAGCAATTTGCAGCTCTGAAGTGATCTTTAGGGTCAACCTAGTGCCCTCTGAAGGAAACCCACCAACCTTTTCTCAGCTTATGTGTCTGTATTTACAGCAGAAAGATCTGACTCATTTTCACCAGGTTGTAGATAGTGACCTGTTTACTTATAACACAGATGAGGACAGCTCAGCTTTGTTATCCAAGTGCTTGGGGAGCAGTGTGGAGGGATGAATTCCCAGGTCACCCTAGGAATGGCCAGTCTCTAAAATAAGAAGGGGTAAGAGCTGGAAACACAACACCTGGGCAGTGGGAACATATCACCTCATTGTCTCCTTTTAGCTCTCAGTTGGATGCATCTTGTTCTTTGTGCTTCCCTGGCCTCCCCACGTAGACTGCGGAAGAGAGAGAAGGCTAAGGTTTATGGGTGGGAGGAGAAACAATCTCACCCCTCCCACGTCTCATTTCAGGACTAAGGAAAGGGCCAAACTAAACAGTTTAAGGCACCAGGTGTGATGCACATGAGATGATACTTTCTGGGGTTTTTGGGTGTACCCTTGAGTATATAAGCCCTGTGTTTATAGAAAGGCTCCACAAGGTCACTGCTGTTCAGCTGTACCTTTTGGCAGGGGTGGGTAAAGTAGAGCAGGGCAGTTCAATTTGAGTTTTATAATAATAGGTTTTGAAGCCAAAGATGCCCAAAACAGGGTTTACTATCTCAAGTGAAGTTTGAAATGACATGGAAGTCTCAATTAATTATTCTGATTGGGGTAGGGTGGCAAAAAGGTGGAAGAGACAGAAACAATTGCCTTTGGTGGCAGTCCTGGCCAGAAGTCCCTAATGCCCAAAAGAGCTCACTGTTGTTTGGGCCAGGAAGATGTTTTCAGGCTCCTCTGCTAACAACGAATCTTGCTCTGACAATCCAATTTAGTAAGCCTCTATTCATTTGGAGGGCCTGAGACAGGGGTGCTCCAGGACCTAGAGAATCTTGGAGCTAGAATGGAGTTGAGAGATGAGCTCCAATCTTTTGGTTTTTAACAGAAGAGTTAAACTAAGCCCAGAGTCACCTATCTGGTTAGCGATAGAAGTAGGACAAATAGAACTCAGGTTACGAGTCTGGGCTTCTTTCTACTACAGCACAAAATCAAATCTTGCATAGCAAGGTCTGGGGCTCCTCTGCTTGCCTTCTTTCTTGGGTGATGAAATGAACAGTTTTGGGGTCTCCTTCTTAGTGGCTTAAGTCCTTGAACTACAAACACAGGTCTATGGATGGGAAAAGAAATAATCCTCTCCCTCCCATGTCTGTTTTCAGAGATTATGGGCCTGAGGAAAAAGCCAACCTAGACTCTCACTAAATCTCTTTAATGTAGGAACAGGGCTCCTTGGCTCAAGGATTAGACCAGCATACATATTCCAGCAGAGTCTGCAAGGTCAGTGACCCTTGTGGGGGACCAGGCCATTCATATCAGCACTACCCTTTCTTAGGTGCTTTCCTCTGAAAGACCTTGAACCTGTCTCTCTGTTTCCAATAGAGTCCCCAACTCTTCTGAGAAAAGGAGGCAAATGAAAGAGCCTGGAATTCAGAGCTTTCTCCAGCAGGGTCAAGAGACCAACAAATGGAGTCCCTCTGCCTGTGGCATTGTCTATACCCACAGAGTTCCACACTCCTATTTGTTCCTACTGAGTGAAATGAGGCTAGAAATACCTGCCCTACAATAACTTTTTATTTTTCCTTGACTATTCTTTTTTTTTTTTTTTTTTTTTTTTGGTA